GAGATCCATTCAATTTTACTATGAGGAACTAGAACGCGTGTTCCTGAGCTCCAATGTGGATGAAACTGATTACATGTTGACAGATCATTTCTTCTATGGGTTGGACAAGGAGTATAAACAGAACCCGAAGATAAGACAGTAATCAAGGGTCTATGAGGTGTACTTTACTACCTTGGAGGTGGAGAAAGAGCATGATGGTTCTTGTGGCTGGAATGGTTCCATTGGGGACCAAGGGTTAGTGTTTGGCGCTGATGGTGGCAATCAAAGGATGTGTATCTTCCGTACCAAGTGTTCGGTTGGGTGGTCCGATGACGTTGATTTAGTAATCGACGGTGGGTCGAGTACTAATGGTGTTAGTGAAGAGTTTTGCATGGCATGGTTTTAAGATTGAAACTTATGATATTCTCTTTAACTTTTCTTATTGGTGTTACACCGTTGATATTCTCATTATCCCTCTTTGACGGTGTTAATGAGGCAATTTCATTCAAGTGCCAGCATCGATTTAGTTGTGGAGAATTCGTCAAGAGTCCACTTCCCCAAGATTTCGGAGTGGAAGGTACTCATGATCCTCGGCTCTGCCGAGGCCGCAACTATCATCTTTCTTGCCAGCATAATAATCGTACCGTATTGTACATTGGCGGCCATAACTCCTCTAACAAACGCTTTTATGTGAAGATCGAGGATGGCCATCGAATTCGCCTACTAGATACGGGTGTGCAGAAAAACAACTGTTCCACTTTGCCACTTTACACTTTTCATGAGAAGCGCCGTTATTCATATTTTCCCGATTTGAGCAAAAGTGAGATAATCATTTTTGTTAGTTGCAAGAGGAAAGTAAAATCTCCTGACTATATAGATACCTCTCCTTGTTCTCCTCGCATGAGTTCTTCTTCTGAAAGCATATTAAGTAATGTTGTGTTTGGGAAAGCGACGGAAATGGTAACATCTGAGATTGAAGAAACATGCACCATTGACAGAAGCATCATTTCTCCATTTCCATCTCTTTATGATGAATTTGGTAGCAGGAAAACCAACCTTTCATTTCAAGACATTCATGAAGCAATTACAGCTGGATACGAGTTCTATCTAACTCATCAAACCTGTAAGTGTCATCGTCGTTTTTTCTAAAATCTTTTATGTTTATTACATCTCTCCAAGGTTCAAATATCCAGGTTAAAATTTGATGTTATGCATCATATTTAAAAGTAGTAAATATTAGTCCGATCATTGATTGCACATATTCAAGTACTAAAAGCTAATTCGATTTCTCCTCAAAAAAAAGTTAAAACTAATCTAGTCTAATGAAGGAAAAAATCTATTTCTCTGCAGTTACCGACACATTTGCGAATTTCTTTGGATTAGTAATAGGTATAATAACAGGTACCAATTCAAACTTTTTCTGTTTTATTAATGTCTACATTAAAAAAGATACATTAATCTCAAAATGAAATTATTGATCATTGTACGTAGGAAGGGGATTGATTGGCAGCATTATATTGTTGGCATTTCTCATCTACAAATGTCGTCGGAGGCATTTATCGATATATGATTCCATTGAGGAATTTCTCCAACATCGCAAGAACATGGTTCCGATCAGGTACTCCTACGGTCAGATAAAGAAAATTACCAACAATATTTTCAAGTAGAAATTAGGCGAAGGAGGATATGGTTCTGTGTATAAAGGCAAATTGCGAAGCGGGCACTTGGTAGCAGTCAAAATGTCGACCAAATCAAAAGCCAATAATGGAAAAGATTTTATCAATGAGGTCGCTACTCTAGGTAGAATCCACCATATCAACGTCGTGAGGTTAGTTGGATTTTGTGCCACGTCTTCAAAACAAGCGTTGATCTTTCATTATATGCCTAATGGTTCATTAGATAAGTTCAGATTTGCTGGAAAAAGCAATGGAAATGCAAATTTGAAATGGAACAAGATTAATGAAATCGCCATAGGGATGGTACGAGGCATTCGATATTTGCATGAAGGTTGCAATATGCAAATTTTACACTTTGACATCAAACCTCACAATATACTACTAGATGAAAACATGGTACCAAAAGTTTCTGATTTCGGACTTGCAAAACTTCGCCAAGTGAAAAATAATGTTGTAACAATGACGGCTGTGAGGGGAACACTCGGTTACATGGCTCCCGAACTGTTCTACAAAAGGGTTGGCGAAGTTTCGTACGAGGCAAATGTTTACAGCTTCGGAATGCTGCTAATCGAGCTGACAGGAAGGCGGAGAAATGTGAATGCGAATGCAGATCATTCAAGTCAGATATACTTTCCTACGTGGATATATGAGCAATTTGAAAAGGGACAGGAGAAATTAATGGATTGCTTGTGCACAGATTGCGAGGAGGAAGAAGAAGAAAAGAGCATAGCAAAGAAACTGATTTTGAGAGCTTTGTGGTGCATACAGATGACACCCAATGATAGGCCCTCAATGAAGGAAGTGGTGGAAATGATTCAAGCTGGAGATTCAAAGGGCTTGCCAAAATTGCCTCCCAGACCACAATTTCATCCACCTGATTCGCCTGTTGTTCTTCAGGAAAGCACTCTTGGTTCTGTTGATGATCCGAATAATTTCACTGATGAGAGCCTTTCGGGTTCTCTGTCTATAGAAATTATACGCTTAGCTTGATCTTCAAGGTCCAAACATCTTGCGCATGCACAGATGCACTTTAAAGAAATTTGCTTAATCAGTTCATCTTCTTAATTTGCACATCAGTGATGCTAGTCTGTATGTATAAAAAACTAATTTGATTATGATTTTTTTTTTTTGTTTTGGATTTGGATAGAGTTAAATTCAATAAAAATATTGACATTTTGGAAGGATTTTAAAGGTTTGCGCTAGAACAATGTTAAAAGTACTTCTGAAAATAAGTGTGCCTTGATATTTTGACTGAACAGTATAAAAATATTTATTCATAGATTCAAATCTTTCATTTGATTTTCATCGATGAAAATTTTGATTTTCCCATATCTTAGTTTTTACCTAATCTTCTTGTGATGATTGATTGATTCAACCTCGAATAAAAAGATATACCTTAGTTATTACATATATTTAATTTCCACAAGTAGTTTTATTATGAATATAACAGCTGTTTATTGTTGTGATAGAAAGAAGAATTTACCATTAGCTTTTTCGGATATATTCGAAATGAAAATTTCAACAAAAATTTAGAAGAATGTCCGATTACACGTTTGATGACACAATTTTTTATGAACTACATTTCAACAAATTCGTATAACATTTCCATTACTTAATTGCGTTTTGAACCTCTCCAGCAATAATCACACACTCGACGCCTGGTAATAAACATCTCCATCCTACTCCATTTAACCATCCTCCCACCCCCTATCTCTAATCTTCTAAGATGGCATTTTAGACAAGTATTCATCTAGGCATTTATCTGAGCTTCCATTCTCAGAAACAGCTCTCTTAGCCAAATCCATCCATCTCAAAGCATTACCTTTGATTTCTTTGCCTCTTTCCCCTTCAATTACTTGCCTTAAACACCCTTCAATTTTATCCCTCCCAACAAAACCATTCTCATCAACTTTAACTCTAATCCCAACTTTCCACACATCTTGCACAAGTTTTGCGTTCATGGTTTGATCAGTCCATTGAGGCATCACAACCATTGGCACTCCCAAACTCAGTGCTTCAATTGTAGAATTCCATCCACCATGTGAGAAAAAACACCCAATTGCCTCATTTGACAACACTTTAAGCTGTGGACTCCATCTAACCAACAATCCTTTTTCTGATGTTTCTTGGAGAAAATTTTCGGGTAGCTTTGATTCTTCTGAAGACCTCACAACCCATAAGAAATTGCAATTTGTTTGTTTCAATCCAAATGCTAATTCATGCATTTGGCGTTCATCTAGTGTAGCCATGCTACCAAATGCTACATAAATTACTGAATTTTTTGGCTTGTTATTGAGCCAATTAGTGCTGATTGATGAGTCTAATTCATAGAGGTTGACACTATAATCCTTGTCATTTTCAACTCGGTTGTCCATGTAGAAAGAAGGGATTGTAGGGCCAATTGTCAACAATGGACAAATCTTTGACATTGCGTCCACGGCCTGTAATTATCAAAGAAATTAAGGATGAATATGGGAAAATTAGTTACTCACTTTTACATTTTTAACAATTAAAGTTTATAATTTTGAGTAAATTATTATTTGCGTAAACTTATATTTTATAAAAAAAAAAGGAAGAAATTAGGAAAACCACGTTAAATAATTCCATAGATCAAGAAGAAATCAATATATATTCATGAAGAGTTGTTTTTTAAAAATAAAAAATAAAAATAAAATTCAACCCCAAAAACTTCACGAGAATCTCGAATTGTAGCCTTGTAGGTTCGATGCAAGATTGGTGTACGTGTAAAGTGGAGCAATAATTTGCTTCTTCAAAAAAACTTTCGAGATTACTATTAGAGTACCATATACTAACAAAACAAAACCAAAAAAAAAAAAAAAAAAACAAAACAAAACAAACAAAACAAAAAACAAAAAACAAAAAAGAAGGATTTCCACATTCTAGCAAAGTAGTAATATGGTACACACATAAAGCCCCGATCTGATATTGGTAGTTGACATTAATAATTATCATTTTAATTTAATGACGATGACTGCAGAAAGAAAACAAATAACTTTTTAGGAAAACGCCGCCAAATGAGAAAGGTCCAGAGAGGAAAGAAGAAAGCTGCGTACTGATTTCCTCGTTCTCACTACTTCTGAAAAAATATCACTACGAATATTTCATCATTAATTTTTTGTTATATTTAAAAAAGATCACTATATATGTATCTCTCCCCATATAAGTACATGATTTTACTTTGTCATCTACAAGTTCTTAATGTAAGTTCTTCATTAAGTTAGAACAGACGCGTAACGTCTTAAGTTTAAAGAAAACATGTATCACATTTAGACTAATTAATCAACGATTACATGTTAAAGATTTGATGTTATTATGGCCACATACCTCAATTTCCAACTCGTAGAATGTATTCACAAGAACGAAATCAGCTTGATCTGCATTCAAGAATTGCTGCTTCACCAGCTCAAAATAAGCAGGATATGAACCCTCAAATGCGATAAACGATGGAAGATCGAAACGATCCAGAGGTGGTAATCCAGGCATCGACAAAGGAAATGAAGAAACTGGCAACTTTAATAGTCCATGATGAACATAATAATACACAAAATTCACGGCACAAGGCTGAGTGAAAAAAGCAGCTGAAACCAACCCAAATTCTTTAGCAACATCCAAAACCCAAGGCAAAAATGAATCATAAACTATGGAATGGATCGGGTTGCCCGAGTTTTGGTAACCCTTTATAAGCTCAATCAGGGTTCTTGTGCCTGATTCTTGGAGGTGTTTCAAGTAAGATTCGATGCTTTCAGCTTGAAGAAAACCACCTTCATCGAAGCCATCAGAAATTGAGACAATTTGGACCGTTTCTGACTTTGGCTTATTTGTTTTGGCGATGAAGTTTGTGACTGCTAAAGTGGCTTTCAACCCTTTGGATTTGGAGATTAAACGCTTGCAAAATTGTAGCATGGGATTGATGTGTCCTTGGCTTGGATAAGGAATTGCCAATATGTGGACTTTGTTGTTGGATTGATTTCCACTCTCCATTTTGGTTTAATTTCTTGGGTTTTGTTTCTGCTTCTGATCTTTTGGAGGATGATATAAAATTGTGTTTTTGGAGAGATATAGCATCATCTATTTATATGGGATTTATTTGAAGCTTAGGAGATATTTCGTGAAAAAATTTGATAGATTTAATTGGTTATTATTCTAGAGGCCTGTGGGCAACAACAATGATTAACTGATTTTAATACTTATGTAAGAACAAAATATATGTCTGGTGTGATATTTTATGGGTCATAGTTTTCGTTCCGGATACTTCATATCTATGTCACAATTGGCTTGACTGGAATCGACACCAATCAAGGCACTTGTTTTGAATTGCAAATATAGAATAATATATAATCTTCAAAAACTATTACAATCGCGAAGCCAAACAATAAATAAATAAATAATATTACAGTTACAAATAGGGATAACACATATCCAATTTAAATATTACTGCTGGTATGAATATGCTCTTTATCCAGATGGTAAAGATATTGAACCAACTTAATCATGAAACCGCTTCAAATTAGGAGATGAGTATGCAACAATGATTGGAATATGTGTTGGGGGTTTTTTCACTCAAAAGAACCTCCAGCTCTATTTAAGACTAGTGATGTCTAGTCGCGCAATGCGCGACCCTGACTCAGTCTATCTGTAGATCTTAGAAATGTTTATATTTGAAAAAGATAAAATTTTGTATTTGGAGCGATATATTTTAGAAATGTTTGAAGGATTTAGAAATGGTTTATAAGTGTGATCATAGAAATATTTGTATTTCGCAAAAAAAAAAAAAATTGTATTTCGCCATGTATGTTTTAGAAATGTTTTATAAGTATTACTTATTAAATATAAATAGCTTAATCGAATATATGTGTTGAAGTAAATGTTAGATAAAATATAAAAGCATCCTAATAAATTTAAATATTACTAAGATGATTTATTGACGTTCTCCATTGGTCATGCCAAATCAATACTTAGTTTTGGAGATTTTTAATAACTTTGTAATAAGCTTCATTCGAAGGGTATATGCTTAAAATAAAATTGACACTTTGTAACAAAAAACCTAATTGATCAATTCAATTTAAAAAACCACTCTAGTTGAATGAAACATAAAGAAAAAATTAAAAAAAAAAACGTGTCACGTAAAGTGCAAAGGGAGATTTAGTAATTTAGTTATGGTTAGACAAAATTGCAATTTAGTATTTTCTACATGCCACGTGGCAATCATATGAGGTGTTTGAAAGGGAGGTTTTTGTTTCTAATATAGTAGGATTTGTGGAAAACATGAACTCGGATAACCGTATTGTATCTAAGCCAATAGGTTTCCCCTCTCTCTTTATACCTATCTATATAGATAAGGTAAGGTATAAAAAAACACTCGTGATTATTTCTAACATATGTATTTGGATTTAACACTTCAAAATGAAATTTTATTTTAGTATTTTATAAACTAATATACAATATATTGATGTGCTATATCCAATATAACTTAGATTAGAAATTGTGTAGTACAGTGACTAAATGGTTCATATAGTGGTCCAAGTCAGGATAACAATTTTCATTCAGGGAAAATTTGTTTAATCTCCTATTTCCTGAATATCAACTTAACTCTATTTTCTTGCCCATGAAGAAAAAAAAGGAAAATAAAAAACGCAGAATTGGAAGCAGTTTGTGATGAACTTGGATACGGAAATACATATGACCAAAACAGTCAAAACAACATCTGAGCTGATTGTCAGGTTAAGTTGACTAGTTTACGTGATTTATCTCTTTAACAAATAAACAAAGAAGAGAGTTTAATTCTTACTTTGCTTCTTTACCAGCCTTAACTTTAATTTTACGTATGTGCATACGTGAAAGTTACCTAAATTGAAACGTAGCACTAGCTAGTTTATGTGGAGTTCATAGGGAAAATGGACAATATGATGGATCATCTCCACGAAAATTTTCATATGGCCGTGAAAAATTTGTTGGGACAAAGAATCCTACATCGATGTTGTGAAAAATCTGTCATTTGTTTATAAGCTCTAAAGGTCAGCTCATTCATATCCAATTAGTTTTGAGATTAGGGCCCAAGGTGATTTTGACATGGTATCAGAGCCTACGATCTGTGGACCAATGATAACTATGTACACGTGTGTGCGGGCTTGTGATTTGGTCGGACAGTATATTCGGACTAATGTACCTATGTGTGCGGGCTTGTTGACTGATCCGGCATCATATCCGGAGTTGTGAACTGACCCAACAGTATGTCTGGTAAATTATGTTGTGTTGTGAAATCCCAATGGGCTAAATACCCCATTGGGCTTGAGGAAGGGTGTTGGAACAAAGAATCCCATATAGGTGTCGTGAAAGATCTGTCACCTGTTTATAAGTTCCAAAGGTCACCCCACTCATAACCAATTGGTTTTGAGATGGGAGCCCAAGGTAACTTTAACAAAGTTTCCCTTGACACATTTTGTGTTCGTCGTATACTTCGAGACTAAAATAATTTATGAGCTTCTTTTTTTAAATGAAGAAAGTATATTTTGGGATTTATCATTAAAAAAGTAGTACTACTCATTGCACCACAATAGTCACGATTCTAGCCACTAGAGAAATGGCATAACCTTCCCCTTCAAAGTTACCAACTTATCATACTATTTGAACATAGTAGAATTCCAGGTTATCTAGTTTAGCATGGTTCTAGTTATCTAATATCGTGGACGACGAATGATTATTGTATTTTTGCACTTACAATGCAAGAGGTTAAACCGACAAGTTCAATATATATATATATATATATGTATATATATATATATCTTATTATATTAGAAACAAAAATCACACTTTAGAAAAAGTACCACCATTTGCCATGTGGTATTTTCACATCATATTTTTAAAATAAATTTTTATTTACACATCTCCTAGACTTAAAAGGCAAATGCAGTCCAAATTCACCTTCACTTTCTATTTTCGCCAAAAAAAAACCACGTGTTCATAAAAAACTCAAATCTTCATTCCCATCTCCACGACAATCGACTCCCTAATCAATCCCTTCACTACAATAAAAAAAATAAAAACAAATTTCTCATCAATCATCAATTGAGAATATGTGGTGAAATATACTCTTTTCCTATTAGCATGTTAAATTTTTTCATTGGTGATGATCAACTACATCCTAATCTGATAAAATTTCGAGTTCAAAAATTATTCTCTTTATCTCACTATATAAAACAAAGGAAAAAATAAAATTCTCATTGATCTTACTTCGGCCATTATGGTGGTGCCATTACAGGTATTAAAATTTAAATGATTTTATTTCCACAGATCATTTGTTTATCTTTTATTATTTTTTATTTTTCCCGTTCAAGAATAGTGTTATTACTATTATTTTTATGCGTCCATCCGTTACAGCTACCGTAACCGTTGTCAGGTAATATGATGTGATTTTTTATATGGTTAGTTAGCCTAGAATTTTTTTATGATTTTAGTTCTGTTTGGATTGAATTGATTAATTGGGTTTTTGTTACAAAGTGTGGTTTTTAAAATTTCTTGTTTATGTTTCATTCAATTAGACAGGTTTTTTTTTTTTTAAATTATGGAGTCTCAAGTTTTTTTTTCGTATATGGTTAATTATGAAGTATGTTTTTTTCTTTGTTTAATTGCTTTGGATTTTGTTTCATACTTCCAGTTGACCAATTATTATTATTATGATTTTATTTTATTTACAAAAAAGTGCTTTTTTGTGTTCGGTCTTTCAAGAATATACTTTTTTGGATTTGGTTTTTGGACTTTTTTTTTATATTTTGTCTTGCATTTACTTACAAGACATATATTTGATCAAGTTTATTTATATTTAAGAAGTAACACTTATAAAACATTTTTAAAATCTTCAAACATTTCTAAAACGTACCGGGCCAAATACAATTTCTTTTTATGCCAATTACATACATTTCTATGATCACACTTATAAAATATTTCTAAATTCTTCAAACATTTCTAAAATATATCGGCCCAAATACAAAATAGTTTTTTTTTTCAGATACAAATATTTCTAAAATCTACAGACATATTGGGCCAGGGTCGCGCATTGCTTGACCAGACATCACTAGCATATATATATATATATATATATATATATATATATATATATATGAGCGTGACTATAGACCAGTCAATTGAATCGTTCAGTCATTAATATTAACCATTAGATGACAAAGGAGCACAATAGCCGTAGGATTAAATAAGATGCACCATAAAACTTTGTATGGTCTTGCACATAATATAATCCTATTATAATTGGTCAACCCATAAAATCTCAACAGTTACTCCTCCAATTAATATTTCCCATTCTTTAAAGTCTTTTGTATAATCCGTTATCGTCACCCAACATTTTGCATCTTTCCCCTGAATTAAATCAAAAAGTAGGATTCTTCCACGAGTAACATATCGAAGCATAGCAACTCTGGCATTCTTTGTCTACAAATTGCAAAATCTCCTTGTTGGGCATTCTTGAATCCAATTCAAATATTGTATGTAATCACTCAAATAGCAGCGGAAAAATTTTCAGACTTGAATCTTTAATTTTTTGATGGAATTTAATTAAGTCGTAGACTTAAAGAACCAAGAGGATTTGATACTTGGGCATGTGAAGCTACATTTTTGGGCATTAAGAATAAATAGACTATGAGCTTCACGAAGCTTTCAATTTTACAGTTCAAAATGGTAAGTTTGTCTTATACTGAGGATTCTTACGGCAATGGCAAATTGGACAAAGTGAAAAATAAAAAGAAAAGAAAACCAATGCAAATTCATCTGTGGATTTCCCCATTTATGTGGTTGATTTTGTCTGTTTTTTTTCTCCGCAATTTAACTGACTTTTTTTTTTTTTTTTTTGCCTTTCTGATGGATGAAAAATACTTAAATGATCGAAGTCCCAATTTGGCGACGTCAACTTGTCGGCGGTCAGAACCATTTCTTTCCTGAACGAGTTTAGTTCTGTTGTTTATGAGAATCCA